ACACACACGCGCACACAGTTAAACATTCCAAGCATGCAGAACGCGATGGAAAGCATGTTGTCGATCAAGAAACTAAAGGCTAATGAAAATAGGCACTTAATACTAAATTCTAAAAATGAACTCCAAAATGCAAAATATGAAATCCTAAAATTGCTAACAAATAAAATTGCTAAGTAATTGTTAGAGGAATCTATGGGCGAAATTGTATCATGTTTAAAGTTTCATTTGATCTGGGCACGTCGAAGCGTCTGGGTGCGTAAAATCTCTGACAGTAATAAATGCTAAATGTGAAAAAGCTAGATCGAGATACTAGCCGATTTTTGGCTTTGACTTGCCAATGAGATACAGTACGAACGCTAGCTGTGAACTGAAGTGAGTTTGCAACAAGCAGCAGTTTACCTTCAATAGAATTAGCGAACAATTATTCCAAAATGAGCCTTCAAGGCCTTTTTTGCCACTCCCAGTTGTAGTTTTTTATCAAACCAATCATCTTCCAAAGAGAATTACACCTTATTTACTTAAAACAACCACATAGATTAGCCTTTTAGTCCGCTAGCTTAATTTTACTGCTTATACTACTTGATTACATCAATATTGTATGTTTTAATTAAGTACAATATTATAGAGTGCTACTTGTAAAAAAAACATGACTTTTTGGGGTGCTGGCGGGCACTGGATTGGATTCATGGCATTTCCATTCATTTTGATGGGGAAAGATAACTAGAGTCACAAGCATGGTCACAGAATAAATAAAACTCTTATCTCAAGGCGCTACTGCACATTTGAGTCATTGGTCAGGCTTCCAATGCGCACGCCAGCGGACCCGCCCGTTGCAGCTCAGGACATCCCGCTTGCTGTTGTGCTCAAGCGTGTCGGAACGAAACTATGAGGTTTCAGCGGTTGAAATAATTCAGGGCGGCTAACGATATCGAGGACGATATCTGCTGAAAGGCAGATTCCCAGGAACTGTCCAAGGAGAAGAAGAACAAGAACAAGAAAGGATATGTGGTGTGACTTACGGGTTTCTTGAGGAAGAAGACGGAGAGTGCGCCAATGAGGGGCATGTCTCCCAGGAGAGGCTCCATTACCACACGCATCACGCCGTGAAGCTAAGCAAGAACAAGACAGCAACATTTACACATCATGAAGTGAAAATGATCACAGAAATACAAATTATGGCCAAACAGAAAAAACAAAACGCTAAACATGAAAAACTATGCCCAAATGCTAAAAATCCTAACAAAATAAAGTCTAAGTACTAAATGAAATTCTAAAAATGCTGACAAAAATAAAGATTCATCAAAACTAAATGGTGACCTAAAATGCTAAAATGTGATATACAAAAATGCTAAACATAAAAATCGGAACAAAATAAAGGACAGGAAATGTTGATCATGAAAAAAAAGTTTCAGGCAAAATGCAAATGTTAATCATTAAAATGCCTAAAATGCGGACAAACCTAAAGGCTAAGTGCTACATGTTAAAAATGCTAAATACAAAGTGTGAAACACTTAAATGCTAAAACCCAAAACTAACTACAAAGAGTTTAATATGAAATGAAAAACAAATCAAATAAAAGCTAAAATGTTATCATGATAGCTAAACACAAACTGCTCAATGCTAAACAACCAAAGCTTAAAGTTGAGCAGTACATCCAAACATTAAATGTGAACTGCTGAACACTAAATGTAAACCGCCATATGCGCTATAGAAAATAATAAACATTAGATCCACCTTGCTGAACTGTGAACAGAAAGGACTTGTGCTTCCTTTGAAGTGGAATCAAGCAGCACGGAGCAAACTTGTTGTTGTTGGTGTCTTGACTGACAACATAATCCTGCTGCTTTCTGCTACCGCACACTCAGGTGTGACGTCTGTCAAAACTATGGCTGATTATAATCACCTTTCTCTCAACACTTAAAGTGAACAATTCTAATAAAAATGAAGGCTAAATCCTAAATGCTGAACACTAAATGCTAAAAATGCTCCCAAAAGTAAAGGCTAAGTACGGAATGCTAAACAAGAAATGCTAAAAACGCGAACAGAAATAAAAGCTGAGTACTAAATGCTAAACAAGAAATGTTAAAAATGCTAACATAAATAAAAGCTAAGTACTAAATGCTACACAAGAAATGTTAAAAATGCTAAGAAAAATAGAGGCTACATTCTCAGACTCAAACGCTGAATTCAAAACTATGTACATGAAATGCTACAAGTGCTAATGAAATTAAAGACGCAAGCTAACTCCTATCTCTTGGCAGCCATGTTTTTAGTAAGCGCAGCAGGTCAGCTGGGACATACTTTGTACTGGATGCTAAATAAACATTTTTTTTTTTTTAATGGTCTGGACAAACCGGTCACAACGACAGCGATCGACCAGTCGATTTGGACCCACATAAGCCAACAAAACTTTCCCTGGCATGCTCGGTAAACGATGGCATCAGCCCGAATACCGATAGCGAGTCATTTATCAATAACGAATCTTGTTATCAGGCTTGAGTTAATACAGCGCAGGTCATAAAGACATTTAAGTGCTATTGACGCCTCGTGGCGCTGACAATGACTTGATGTCATCTTGCACATTCCACAACTACTGTTTTACGCATAACAAGCTAAATGCTTAACACGCTGGTTCCTTAAACGGGACGCGAAAAGGTCAAAAGTTGAGATCGAAGTGATGTGGTCGCCACGACGACAAGTGGGATCAGTGTGCCCTGGTACCTGAATGCTCTTGATTCCCGCCCTGCAGTAGTACTTCTTGATGTCCACGTCGATCTCCGTGTTGCCCACAAAGCTGCAAAGGTGACAAATTTACAGAGTTTGGAAGATGTTAGAAACTTTCGATATGAAGAAGATGTTTGACAGAGATGGTACAGTGTTGCAGGCGTTGAAGAAAGAACTCGGTCGACACAATTCATCCAATTTGAATCGTGGCCACAATTTTGGCTGCCACGATGAAATGAACCCGATCTCCTGTTGACACGTATTTACATTTCAAACGCGACGTCAGCCGCGTATCTAATCAAGCAACTTTCTCAAGCAGTGGTCAGCTGCAGAGAATACTCACTGTTGTGAGGCTGATATGAGAGGATTTGGACAATTTCTAAATCAATATTTATCCGGTTCATCCATGGAATAATGGATAGAATAATCAATCCTACAAATATATTGAAAAGGCACAGCCTGAGTCGAGATTTTTTTTTGGGGGGGGGGGGGCGATTTTTAAGACACAGAGATGTTCCAAGATGTTGCAGCACTTGATTGAGAAGCTTGCAAACAGGGCTGGGGAAAAAAAAAAAGTCCAACTCGGTTGTGTCCACCACAATAATTGGTTGACATAGAAATGTCTGCATCAAAACTATAATCATTTTAAAAACCATATTTGACATGCACGGAACTAACGTTTCGCAGGTTGCCGGTAGGAGGAACCGATGATCGATTGGATAATCGATTCTACGATAATTCGTACCTGATCTGCATGTCCATGATGACCTGCCGCTTGTCCACGTTCTCCGTGTACACTTTGACACCGTTCACCCTGAATGGCTGCAAAACAAACAAGCCGTCGAGCAAACGCGGCGACCGATTGCGTGCTTGTGCGCGTGCGCTGACCTTGTCGCCCATGTCGATCTTGGAGAAGCAAAAGGAGCTGAGATGCGGGTTGGCCCCCTGGACCGCCGGCTCGATGCTCTCCCTGAACAACTTATCCACAAACTGGCAAATGAACGGCCACATCTGCCTCACCGTCTGCGCCAAACGGGACCACACGCGCACCATCAGCGCCACGCACAAATACGCGACTGCTCTCATGCTTTGCTTTGTAGCTTGTTAGCTTAGCAACAACAAGTACAAGAACAAGAAGAGGAGAACGGGTCACTCCTCACAACTTCATTATCCGTTGGAAAATTGTGGGGGCAGGCAGTCAGTCCCCCGGGTAACGGCACAAATAACATGTTCTCGTCCCACTTTGAAAATTGAGTCTGTGTGCGTGGCAGAGGAAGTGAGAATGTGTGTGAGAGCAAGAAAGATGGTTCGTGAGTGAGCACCTTATTGAGCCATTCCACTCGCTCCACATCTGGATAGTGGACCTGTGAAGCACAAAAAAAGCAACACATTAGTTAACTCGCATCAAAAAGACGGCAACTACAAAACCTCATGACAGAAGTCAGCCACAAATTTGCTACGGCAACTATCAACAGGCTAACGAGCTATTCAACTTTTGCCTTCCACAAAGATGCAAATCTGCCACTTGTTATCCTCTTTCTACTGCTTTTTCTTTGGCTTTTGGGGCCTTTTTGCAGCCCACTTTTCAACACAAGTTGTTTTTGGAGTCCTCCCGCATGTAAACAAACACTGGTATCGGTCTCTGCATTCTTTGAGCTATTCTGGTGGCTCGCCTGATGTTTATTTTGACTCGGGTAGTGCCCTGGTGACACCAACAAACAAATTAAATAGCTCTTGTGCACATTCCTGTTGATGCCTAATGAAAAAAACATGAATGGTATGATGATGATGATGATGATGATGATAATGTTTTCCTGGAAGGTACAGAAATCGGAAACCAGGATGAGGAGAAGCGCTGGCGTCTATTTTTAACCTGGAAGAAAGACAGTGCACTAAAACAGAGACAGAGAGAGAGAGCGAGAAAGACATTCATTTGCCTGCCTTTGCGTTGACATTGTGTTGTCGTCATGTGATCGCGACGCAGCATCGCTAGCGACATCGTCCTCTCGCCGGCCGCTTCATTAGGGACAACCGTCGAGGGAACAAAATATTAGAAACGGCTACGGGAATAAACAAATTGTGAGCGGATGAATATCTCTGGAATGACGGTGTACCTAATGAAGTGGCCACGCTGTTGGGCTGGGCGAAAACAAACATCTTGCATTTGCTTTTCTTTCCCCACACGATCTCAGACACATCTGAATTTTTTTTAAAACTACAATACACTACCGAAACACTCATACACATTGCAGATTTATTTTCACTCTTATGTAGCTTACTACTGAAACGCTCATATTAATGAAATGCTTTCATAGAAACTAGCAACAAAAAAAATGTTGCTTCTACTGTACTCATTGCTAAGACACTCTTCGGATTTTTTTCTCGTTCATATGACTGAAATGCTTGCTGACTCACTAATGAGATGCTTTCGTACACTATCTATCTATCCATCTTCTAATCCTCTTCATCCCCACGAGGGTTGCGGGCGTGCTGGAGCCTATCCCAGCTGTCTTCGGGAAGTAGGCGGGGCACATCTTGAACTGGTTGCCAGCCAATCGCATTGCACTAATAAATGAACAATCATTCACGCTCACACGTTGGGATAATTTAGAGTGTTCTATTAACCTGCATATTTTTGGAATGTGGGAGGAAACCGGAGTACCCACAGAAAACCCACACAGGCACAGGGGGAACACGCAAACTCCACACAGGAAGGTCGAAGCCGGAATCGAATCCTGCACCTCGGCACGCGGATGTGCTAACCGGTCATCCAACGTGCTGTGCCGCTTTCGTGCACACTACATAAAAATGTTTTTCGCTCAGACGTTATCACAAATCAGAGTTTTTCTTTCACCCATACACACTACTGAAATCCTTCCACCCATCATACTGAAAAATCTTCATATTATAGATGTAAAATTGTGTTTCAGTCGTGGAGGAATGCGAAAGTAATCCTGAATCTTGGCCCTGACAGCCCCTCAAATGGGTTTAAGGTTACTTGGGTCCCTCTGAATACTTGTCATCCACGATATGCGCTCAATAATGTACGACAATCCTCAATATTTTTAATATCAGACCATTCTCAACAACGACAGAAAAAATACCATGTCAAATTGTATTTCTTTTGTGTCAGTTAGTTGGACACAATTGGTCAACAATGTGGTATTTCAAAGACATGTGAATAATGCATTTAAGGATTAAATTCGATTTTTTTTTTGTTTAGACCAACCAAGGCCATAAGTAATCCTTTTTGTTTGTAGAAATCTACAAACTCAAGTTGAGGGGGACAAAAAAAAAAAAGAAAAGAGAACTACCCGGCAGTGACTCTCTTTGATTCAAAGCTGCTTTCCCTGCACAAACTTTGAATGCATTTGAATCTCCAAAGTCAAAGAGACGTCATTATGCTTTGCCAGTTATCTCATGTGTTGCCTTCGGGGCACGGTCAGAAATCACAGCTTTCCACACAAGCAATCGAGTGACTGACATCAGGTGTTGCCTTCGGGGGACGGTTAGAAATCACAGCTTTCCACACAAAACAATCGAGTGACTGTCCAGATCGATTTACATTATCCATTTATCCTTCAGTCGACCGAGCTAATGAAATCAAGTGTTTGCATTCAGGGACAATCGTAAATCACAGCTTTCTGCACGAAACGACTCACGGATTCTTTTAAAATGTCTAAATCACAGCTTTCTGCACGAAACGACTCACGGATTGTGAAATGTCTTTCAATGTTAAATTCAATGTTAAATCCGTCCAACCATCAATCAACCATTTCTCCATTCCTGGCAAATCAATCAGGTGATGCTTTCAGGGACAGTCTAAAATCAGGGCTTTCCTCACACAACAACAGAGGAACTGTCCTCATACGCACAGGTTTTTATCAATGTAATGAAATCAAGGGTTACATTTAGGGACCATCAGAAATCACACTTTTCCGCACTTAACAACTGATTGATTGGTGACGTTTATTTAAATCCATAATCTATCATGTATCCATCCAACTAAACAAATCAGGCGATGCCTTAAAGGACAGTCTGGAATCAGAGCTTTCCACACCAAGCAACAGAGTTGAGTGTGTCTGCGACAAAGCTGAGAGTAGAAGCAGAGCATCGGATCGTGCACCGGTCTTCGTCATCCATGTTCCTCTACATTGTTCCCATTCCTGCCCCGCCCGATGGCACACAAAACGGGCCGTCGTAATGTGTCACACGACACACGAACGCGCCGTCAGCTGACGTGTCTTCATTGCTTGGATTCGTTTTGTTCAATGCGCACATCTTGAAACAATATGATGCAATCACTGTGGATTTATTTGTTCAATGTCATGAAACGTGGTTGTATAAAAAAAAAAAAAACTTGAGTTGAAGAGTTAAATTGCACTTCAAGTAGCCATGAACATCCTGAATTGTCTTTTTCATAAGAATTCTTCACAAAGTGCCGACCGATGCCTTTATTTTTCCCGAGGAAGGATTATGGCGTAAATCTATGACAACAAAGCTTAGCAATCAGAGCGTGTGAACTTTGAACCCTCCGTTATCAGCGTCTGACCTCTCCCCCTCCCCTTATCACAACGACCACAAACTTTTGTGTCAGTGTGACACCACGTCGGCTGGCCTTTTTCAATTTCTGTTGAAAGAACCGGGCCAGCGATGTGATCGATCCAAACCTGTTGAGAGGACGTAAGTGTGGAACAGGCCACTTTTTATTTCTCGACATGCTTTTTTTAGGGGGGTAACTGCACCAGACCTCCAACTAATCATTTGCATATTCACAGCTTTTTTTTTCTATATTTTTTCCAATATTTTGTGAGGTTTTTGGGGAGCTTTAAGGGGGATGAGATTCTTCCTCCATTTTTTTTTGTTGTGGAAAATATTTTTTTAAATGTTCTTCAGCTCTTTTTTTTTCAAAGCAAGAAATGTTTGGTTTGATTTTTGATCACTTATACGCAGATTTTCACTATTTGATGTGCATTCAGGTCCCTATTACCCACCACCACCAACTGTATTTATACTTCGTCCTCAAATTTCATGGTAAGCTGCAAAAGTACAACTTAAAAAAAAAAAAAAAAAATCAAAACTGTAGCGGTCCAAAAAGGACAGGTGTTATTTATGAACCTTTCTTCTAATAGAGAAATTCTTGGATGGCGTCCATGTTCATTCAGGCAGTGTAATTATGGCTGCTGCTCAATTGCCTCGCGTTTGACTTTTCACTGGATGTGGTGGGTGTGTTACAGCGCTCCAGATCACCCCAACCAAAAATATGCATCCTCCACAGATGAGCAAAGCTTTCTTGCCTATGCCAGCTAATAGATTCTCAAAAAAGTTTAAAAAAAAAAACAAACTATATAACTATGCCTACGTTCATACTGCAGAGCATGTTACGAAACTGTTCCTAAAAGAACACTGCAGATTCATAGACGATTGTCTGTGTAGTCTCCCTTTTGTTGTTTATTTCAAACCCTTTGCATTATTGTCGTGCATGTGCTTAGGAAACGCTATGTGCCGCGCAACTAGCACCAATGAAAATTTTGCATTTAAATTGCCCATCCCTAATATACACTGTTCAGTCCCGGAAGTGCTAATGGCCTATGATGACCTTCAGGAGGAAACCTTGCTTGCTGGTCGGTTAGATGGAGACAATGGTTTACCTTCAGCAGGGCACTAAAGTGCAAACGGCTGGTGAGGAGCACGGACGGGCTAGACAGTACATGAATGGCTTAATTCATGACTCACCCATGACGGCAGCTCGGTGGTGGGCAGAGTCTGCTTGACGACTTTGTCCTCGTGCTCCAGGAAGGCCAGTGCGCGATTGATCCTGTAGTCCTTTCCGCCGTGGGCTCGCCTCCAGTAGAACAAGGCCGCTAGTCCGATCAGCACCCAGCTGAAGCTGAATTCCAAGTAGCCCAGGATGTAGATGGGCAGAATGGCAGCGAAGGTCTTGCCGAATTTTAGCCACATCTCGGTGATTTCCGTTAGGGATGACTGAGGCCCGCTGGCCGGCTCCTCTGGCGGCGGGCCGAGCGAGGGACCGGCGGGGGCCAAGACCGGTCCGTTGGGCATGCTGACCGATCCGGCCGAGCCTTCCATCCTGGAGCCAACGCTGTTACTCATTTCCCCTCTACGGAGGCACAAGGTCAGACTTTTACTGCAAGGACAAGCAAGCACTGGATACAATAACACTCTGGTCCAATGCTTCTCAAAATATGGTTCACGATTAATCGTTTAGAGACCTAGCTTAACTTAAAATTGTCCAAATGCTGGGAATTTCAGCCTGTCAGCAGGAAATATTTTTAGATTTCTGTCGTCATCCATGAAAGCAGACAGATTGATTATGTTTGTGTTCATTCAAAATAAGACGATTGCAAACATCTGCTTTTACTTTGGAAAAACAATGTTCAGCATTTTTACCGATTTGCTGATGTGCTATGGACCAAATCAAGGAACTGAAATGGAAATAAATTACTTTTGAACAATTTTTGCACCCTCCATTTGAAATAATGTCCTGATATTGAATAAAAAGATGGACATTTAAAAATGCTTTTCTAGAGTGGGCTCAGCAATTAATCTAAAAAAATAACCAACAGGTGAATCAATTGTTAACACAATCAGGAGTAGCAACCCTGCAATAATTATGTTGTATAAAAGTCATTTTTTGGTTCAGAACAAAACTTGTATTGTTACAGGAATAAAATTAATTTTCCAAAAATAAAAGGCATATTTTTTCAAGGAATGTTGACTTTTTTTTAAATAAAAAAAGGCATATGGTCCAGAATAAAAGACGTAAAAGCACAAGAATAAGACAATATTTTAAAAATTCATTTTACTCATTTAACTTTGATTTTAATAGCGCCTTTATCCTGTAAAAAACAACAATATTGCCCTCATATTCCTTTTTATGACAAAATACATCATTATCATTTTTCTTATAGAAAATAGGACTTTATTCATGTAACATTTTGTTTCTAACAAAATTATGAAGTTCGTATTGTAATACGGTGACCAAAGACATATTTACAGGAATTACATGGATTATTATTTTTTTTAGTAGTATGACTGACATCATAATACTGCAACTGTCACTTCGAAAGATAAGATTTTATTCTTGTTGGATAAACACTTTTTACAACATGAGTTCTTTTCAACAATTTAACTTCCTTTCTTGGGAAAAAAAATAGGACTTTATTTTCATAACATGACAACTTATTTTCTCAGGGGGGAAAAAAAACCTTAAATTGTGGAGGCGTCCTTGGAAAAACTTCGCCGGAAAAATTTGACAAGCCTTGGTTGAGTCCAAGAAACACCACTAACAGATCACAAACAGATCCACCATGGCAACCATTTTTGTGCACTTTTTCACGTTAACCTCGAAGAGGTAATCGCTTACATGCATTAATTACACTTTAAAATTAAATTTAAAAAAAAAACAATTTGTTTTGTGGGTCAAAAGAATGCAAAACATTTGCCATCGCTGTCCTCTGACGTCATTTCATTTGCATCGCCATTCCAAACTCTCCTTAAAAACATCCAACTTTTATAACGACTGCTATTACTTACTCAACGAGCACGGGTATTCAGCCTGTTGAAATCGGCGTACATCCAACTACCATCACTAACATTTAATTGTTTCTTGGATTTCACTTTGTAAAATGCCGTGAAGTGTCTTCTGGTCGCTGGCGGCTATGTGATGTTATGATCGAATTTCATTTTTTAGTGCTTTCTAAACCCGTGTTTGCACGTTAGCGTGTATGCCGAATTGAACAACACACTCTATAAAATCAAACTTGTGGTTCAGTTGCAATCAAGAGAAGGCTTGTATTTACTAAAAGGCATACAAACACTAAATTGGAGAAAATAGCAAGCGAGTCCTTCGTGACGTTCTTCCCAATAAGTGACACGTAGAAGGGCTTCTTACGTCGAACCCAACGGCCACCGGCGAAAAAGAAGAAAAAAACAACTTCTTTCAAGAAAAAAACCCACAACACTCACCAGAATCCGCATTCGCTTGTAAACGACTTCAAATTGAGCAGTGGGGACGCGCGGCGTTCCACATGCCGACCAGCTCGATTTCGACCAGGCAGTCTCCCCCTCGGTTTCTCAGCTCATCACTGTGTGGAGGCGCCGGAGCTCTACCCGCCCGCCTCAGTTTAGCCCGGCAGGAAGCCGTCATCGCCGGGGAGAGGTCGGCCTCTGCCCGCGGGTCAGCCACGGAGCACTGCTGAGCCCTGGTGGCGAGAGAAAGAACTACAACTGTTTTAGCTGTACAGAACTGTATTTGTTTTTTTTGGTGGGGGGGGGGGCGTTCATTGCCCTCTTGGGGGTTAAGATCAGGCTATACTGTTAATATTTTTCAACTGTGGGCATGTGAAGCCGTTTCTGTGATTATGGGGCAGATATATAAATTTGACTTGACTTTGACTTGAATTGGTTAAAATGATTGCAGAAAAAGAAAATATAGTACAGAGGAACCCAGCAGTCTTGCAGTTCAATCCAGGCAATTCAACTATTCGCGAGATTTTGTCAATGGAAAGACGACTAGAATACAGTGGTAGCTTGAGAGTAACCCATCTTGTGAGTTTTTTTCGGGGGGGGGGGCGGAGTTGGAAACATGCAGATGACAGTTTGTACGACTTATGTGCAAAAACTCTAGTTTGGAGCGCTGTCCGGTGGCAATGACTCAAGTCACAAAAAGTGAGAGTTTGGCAGATATACTGCCCCAGGTGGTCAAGGCACACACCAGAAGGAGCAGAATAGCCATTGAAATGAAGCAAAAACTGTGGCAAACTTTTTATTTACATTCTATTTACTAATGTCAGTGGTGAATGTTTTTATTGTAAAGGGCAATTTTTTTAATTTTGAAACACATATTACATAGATTTGTTGATTTTTATGGGTAAGGAGAAACAGATTAATGGTGTTCCACTCATTTAAATGGGGAAAGATTTAAGGTGTTTTGAGTTGCAAGCAGTCATGGAACGAATTAGACTTATGTACATGTCAACTTGGCACCGCTGTATTATCAAAAGGAGAAATAAAAGGTACTGAGAATATGTAAACATTCTAATCTGTGCATTATGCAAAGTTAAACTGGAATTTGAAAACTAATAAATATATATATGTATTTTTAATACGAATTACTAATTAATGTTAAAAACTTTAAGCTGTAGGATAATTTTTAAAATCGTAAAATGTTACAAAATAAAACGAACAATTTCAAAATGTTTACAATGAAAACAACCAGAGGAGCGCTCGGATGTGAAGCCAAGTGCGCAAACGCAAAGAGCCGTGCTTTCATTTTGAAATCCCGAAAGCGGAAACAGCAAAATCAAAACAAACGTCCACATACCCCAACATGTCGGCCCGTGTATGAAACATACATGTCGGAATATCAACGCTCGTGTGTTCTTCGAGTGTCACGTTAGTTCAACAACCAAGTGCGCGTTTTGTGTTGTTGTTGTTGGCGGCGATGAAGAGCTTAGCGGCGTTGCACTCGCAACTGGCGACCATCATGGAGGCTCTGACCCGGGCTGCGGTGGCCGAAATGTGCCAGCTGGTGGACAACAGCTACGCCGTCTTCCAGATGGAGATAAGCCGCAGCCGCAAGGAGAACGACGAGCTCCGCAGGAAGCTCGCGCTCATCGAAACCATCGTCGCCCGCGGTGGCGGCGCCGCAGCTGCGGTCTTGGGCGCCGGAAACCCAGAGGAAACCAACGAGGAACCCGGCAACGGTGAGTAGTACTCATAGTCCAGACACCACCACCAACTACAGCAACACTAGCATTACTATCTAACTAACCAAAACTGTTACTTCTACTACTTCCATTACTAAGACTCCTACTCGATTACTATTACAACTGCTTGCAGTAGTTTGACTATTCTATTTCTTCCATTGCTACTTCTTCTCATGCTACTACTACTATTCTTATACTGCTATTATTACGACTACTACTTCGTTTATCTTAAATTCTCGCCATGTATCTCCGCGTAACTGATCGCTTTAAGTTTGAACTGTGCTTCGTCGGAGTGTCTCTTCATCTGTGCCATTTTCCGGGGTCCGAAGTTGTTTAACCCAATGCAAATCGATAGTACTGTACCGGCATTCTCTCCACCTACTGGTGGGCGTGCCTTTAGCTTCCTTTCACGCCCACCCTTCCACTTTAACGTCACAGTTTCCTCTCTATAAACAGCGTGTCTGCATAACATCAGATAGTCAAGCGGAGGGCTCCTCGAAGTCACACAGCAACATTCAGATTTTGGAACTTGATGCATAGATAAGGCGCCCCATTGATTTTGGAGAAAATGTAAGACTTCGAAGTGCGCCCTATCCTTGTGAAAATACGGTCGTACTAATGCAACGAACTACTCGTGCTCCAAACTACGCTTGCTACTGAACAATTACACCCAATAAAAGACCCAACTTCAAACTTATGCTACGCTACAAGTACTATTGCTGTTGTTGTCATAACACGACAACTGCTGCGACTTCAAACAGAATGAATATTGGCCGTCACTGAAAAGTGGCTCCTATCTCTTGGTTTCGTACAGTGCATTTCCCGTCATCAGGCGTGGTCGACAGATCGCCGAACGTCTGCAATGGGCGGAGAAGTGGACCCCGTTTGTTGTTAGCGCCATCAGCAGAAGCCGCGCCGTCAGCTGCAGAGGTTACACACTCACATCAACACTCCCATTGAAAAACATAACGTATAGTATCATTTAAAAAAAAATGACATGGTATTTTGGTACTTTTCTTCATACCGGAACACTGTGCCGTACCGTAAATCTGACTTATTTCTGAAAAATGCGTGGTTGCGGTTGGTGTCGCAGGACACCTCATTTGCTGATGTTTCGAGGAGCGAAGAAGACGTGTTTCCGGTCAAACAGGAAGTGGCGAGTGACAAGGACAATAGCGGCGAGCTGCTTCAGGATGAGGACGGTAAGCATCAAAGTGGTGCGACGCTCCTTTGTTGTCGAGCTGGATGGTGTCATCTGATCCTGTTTGTGTGACGTACTGGGACTGCAGACATCTCAAGAAGTTGCAGTTAGTAGTTTGATTTTTGTGAAGGATAAAGAATAAGCATTGTTGTCTGTCAACATGTGTTGCTGCATTTTGTGAGCAAATAGCCATTGGTTAAAACTGTATTGTTTTGTGTTTGAAACAAGCACATACGTTTGCTAGCTTTACGATAACACATAATGGGGAATGTCATCATCGAGCTAACAAATACAAGCTAGGTGGCGGTTGAGCAATACAGTAGCTGAGCATATGATGCGGCAATACAGACATAACACACAAATAGTCATACTCACATGTATTCTTGATCCTCTGCAAAGAGCAATGAATATTAATGCGGCATAATGAGGAATAAGGTTAGCATTATAACGTAACGTGCTAACGTTAGCGGCCTCACATGTTGTTTGAAGCAGAAACGGTGTCGCAGCAAGCCCACCCTAAAGCCGGTCCCTCCGGAATTGTTGCTACCACCTCGTCGGCCGATTTCAACCCTTGGGAACAAAACGTCAACACGCCGCCTCAAGGTTCGCTGAGCTTTCCGGGTTCCCCGGGCCTCGCCCGAGACAACTCCTCGGACGTGGTCTACGACATTGCGTCGGAATCCGACGGAGAAATCTCATCGGCGAGGAAAAGCTCGGCCTTGCTTTCAGGAAGTCCCGACCAGGCCTTGGGTTTACCCAGCCCCCGACCGGGAACCGGTGAGCCGGACCGCTGCTCTCCGTGGGCCAGTCAGGGCCTGCCTTGCATCCTGGCCCTGCCCCGCCGCCCCGCGTCCGACTTGAACACCGCCTTCCCTTTGGCTCTGGGGTTAGCGGGGCCCCGATTGGACACTGTAGACCGGAGCCGCTTGCGTAGGGACCGGCGTTTCGTCTGCAACTACTGCGGCAAGTGGTTCTCATCGGCACGCAGCCTGGAGACGCACGTGCGCGTTCACACGGGCGAGCGGCCGTACTGCTGCGGCCAGTGCGGAAAGCGCTTCACGCAATCGGGCCACCTGAAGACGCACCAGAGCGTCCACACGGGTGAGCGACCGTTTGCGTGCCACCGCTGCGCCAAGCGATTTGCTGGGAAGCAGAACCTGAGGATACACCTGCAGAAGCACCACCCCGGAGCACAACAAGAAGGGTGAAATGCTTCCTGGGGCGACTCGCCAAAATAAAAGAGAACTGATTACATTTGTTTCATTGACGCTGAAAAACGGAATCTCACCAAGACGTTATAGAACTTGTAGATTAATAAAGAAGCATTTATGTGTGTTAGCGTGAGCTGCTTTTCCATTCAATTCCTTATGTTCCGTTTTACTTCGATTTCTTTTCTTTGGGTTGCCATTTTGATTTTTTAAGTTGAGATTCACTTCGATTTCCAAGCGCTTAACTCATTCACCCCCAAAGACTTATTTAGATGTCTTTTCAGACGCCACACATTTAATCCGAGCTCCTCATTTTATATTGACTGTACTTGAAAAGGGTCTGAAAGGGTCCGAAAATGGCCATTTTCCACGACGGGGCTCGTGAAATGAGGAGCTGGGATTAAATGTGTGGCGTCTGAAAAGACATCTAAATACGTCTTTGGGAGTGAATGAGTTAAGTGGCAATTCGCTCTCAATTGCGCCGGTTAAGATTCAAATTTGATTCTTGAGTTGCAATTCACTTGGTTAAGTTCTAATTCGATTTGCGTTTTACTCTTTCGATTTACATTTGATGTCAATTGTTTAGCTTCTGATTTGATTTGTTTCCATTCAGCAAATCCTAGCTAGTACTTGATGGCCCTCCCATTCACAGATGGATTTGCATTAAACATGATATCATGTTTACATAAGAAGCGACCTCATTTTTACATCAAGCGTGACATCATCGCTGAAGGCGCCCGCAAAGGACGCCACGGGACGCTCACAAAAAGCGTCCCATCAGCAGGAATGTATATATGGACATAGTGAGCACTTCTTGCTCGGATCAAGTTGGCGAGCCAACCTCACACTTTCAGTCACGCACTTTTGCCCCTGATGGTGAAACACGTCTGTCTGGAAGTTACACAATTCTCTTGAGGAAATCACGCCCCGACATTAATTCTGGCCCAATGGCTAGAATGGCACCATCTTGGGTGACCTTAACCATTTCATGCACCCTGTAACCCCGAAAGGGTTAAAGACACCAGCCTGACAGGGCCGGTGTAAAATTCATCAATAATATGGTGAAATCAACACATTTAGTTTTCTTCAAGTTTTAAATGAAACAACATAAAGATGCTAAATATGAAATACTGTATTGGCCCGAATATAAGACTGTGTTTTTTACATTGAAATAAGACTGAAAAAGTGGGGGGTCGTCTTATATTCGGGGTCTAGATGTTATACCCATTCACGACGCTAGATGGCGCCAGATATCATTGAAGCCAATGCTGAACTTGACTCCCCAGGCCAAAGTGAACCCCTGCCACGAAGAATAAAAATAGAAATAGCGGTAGCACGAAGAAGAAAAATAAAAAATAGCGGTAAGAAGGAAAAGAGAAGAAAATAATAGAAGAGATAACAGAATATGGAGAAACGTAGTGACAAACTGGAGAATAGTGGGTCGCAGATCGGCCAGTTTAACCGGCAGCTGAGGAGAAGTTATATAATTTACATTTCAAAAACCAGAAGCCATTCATTTACGAATGTGATTTCACTTTAGATTTGAATGAGGCAAAATAACATGCTTTTTCTCTGAAATATATTATTATAATCATTTGTTTCAGATGTACTGTAATTATTTTCTGTATAAAAATTAATTTGGTGTTCAAAAAGTCTTTTTTCAAACTTTAGTCTTGAAAAAGAGGGAGTCGTCTTATAATCGGGGCCGTCTTATATTCGGGCCAATACGGTAATCACTTGAAATATTTTATCATGACTGTGAGGGGCCAGTTTCGTTTCAACAGGACCACCACAACGGGGCTCGTGGTGACCGTAAAAGGCTTAATGTCAGACCCTGAAAGATTAAAGGCCATAGTTTGGGAATATCTTGGAGATCGGGAATATTATGCTCCGTCGTTTGTGGTCTGCCAAATAAATGCCCACAATCTCAATCAGCCAAATTTTGATGTATATTCGGGCATAGTTAGGCAATTTCAATGCATCGAGATCTCAAGTGCGGTTGACTTGACCACTTTCTGTTTTGTCTTTTTTTCATCACGTTCTCATCTACACAGAAGTTTTGGTGGTTCTGATAAGAACCTGGTTCTTTCCTGGGTCTTATTGATAACTCAACTCAACTGTATTTAGAGAGCACTTTCAAACAGCCGTCACTGCATACAAAGTGCTGTACATGGAACAACTAACATACAGTAGACAACAGTAAAGCAACAAATCGGTAACAAAGACGGTAGAAAGCACCGAACAGCAAAACCAAGAACAAATCTGAATCATGCTGAGTCAAATGCCAAAGAATCCAAGTGAGTTTTGAGGCGGGTTTTAAAGATGGTCAGCGATAAGATAATGAAGGGATCAATAATCAAGCCAGAAAATAAGAATAAGAAAACCTTTATTCGTCTCACACTGGAGAAATTCCCAATTTACAGCAGCAAAGTTATGAAAGGAAGTTGACATTTGTATAAGGGGGAGAAGTCAAGTGTGAACTATTCAGAGTCTGCCTTCTTGCTGATTAACCCATTTAATCCCACCGGTCACATTTGTGAAGGACAACAATGATTTAATTTACAGGGCTCTAAATTTTTTTTTTTATTAATGATTACTTAAAAGGGCTACCAATGACACTTGATTTTGACTTTTAAATGTCTGCGAAAAATTTGGGATTAAATGGGTTAATCTCTCGATTGTGGGTTCTGGTTGCCTCACATTTGGTACAAGGAGTGAGGAAATTCCAATTGTTATCTTCAGCAACCTTTCAGTCGTGAAAGTATATGGGTGCTTGCTGAAGTTTAATAAAGCCATAGTAGAAATGGAATGTATAAAACAAGTAAAAGCAAAAGTTATACAGAAAAAAAAAAAAAAAAGTACAGATACATGAAAAATCGACTTCATTACTGTCACGGGTGGTTCGGACAGAGTGAGACTTGTGCCATGTGTCTTCATTCAAAGACACGTTTGTATTAAACATGACATCAGGCCTAAATGAGGAGCGACGTCACATTTACATCAAGCGTGACATCGTCGTTCAAGGCGCCCTCACGGGACGGTGCGTGAGAATCTCAGAAACGGTCGATCAGTGTTTTTTTTTTTTCTTTTTTTTTTTATGGCTATAGCAAGTTCTTGCTTGGATCAAGATGGAGAGCGAACCGAGTTACATTTCCAGTCAGGTTCTTCTGTCCCTGACGGAGAAACACTTCTTGAAGATCACGCCGGCTCACTGGGCACTGCTGGCGGCGGGGGTGCGCGACCCGGCCATAGACATGATCCTGGCCGACATGTGCGGTGAGATCGTCCAGACGGTGGCCACCGAGGTCCTGCGTCTGGTAGTGCCGGTCCTGGTCGAGCACCTGGAGGGGCGGGCGTCCCCCGACGAGATGAGCAGCGCCATCGAGAGATGCACGCCGCAACTGGGCGACAGCATCATGACCACCTTCGCCGCGGCGGCGGATGTGCCCGAGGTGGAGTTTGTGGGCGCCAAGCGCTTCACGGCTCTCATCGAGAAGGAAGCCAACGTCCGGATGAACTCGGTTTTGAGTTCAGCCCTCAGTAGCAGCGAGGGCCAATCGGAGCCGCTGCTTTACGTCAACGCGACCATGTCCAGCGTCAACACGCTCTATGAGATGGTGTGCCACGCTCACAAATGTTTGTCTTACTTGAGCAAGATGACGCAGCGCTTCTACAGGATGAGCGGCCTGACGCCCGTGGATGTGGAAGCCGCCACCCGCTCCGTGGCCGCCATCCTGCTCAAGTGGGCCAAGGAGGGGCGCGAGGAGCCCGACGAGGAACTGGCGCGGCGCTCCGAAGACGCCCAAACCACCGCCGAGGACATCATCCAGACCATGGTCCAGTTGCAACAACGGGCCGAGCGCGCGGCGAGCAGCGTGTTTGCCAAGCCCTGCATCGACATGAGTGCAATTTTGGCGAAGGTCAAGCGGTTTTTCTCATCGCGCCCCAAATCCTCCACCTGCACCGACGAGCTGGCCGTCAGGACCTCACTCAACACGGTCGGACGCTCTCGCTTCCAGAAGATGATGGCGGGCCTCAAAAGCCTGTTCCAAAAGACTCAGCCGCCCTTTGTGGTCAACCTTCCGACGGGACGGTCTGGACAGTCCACACGCCGCCGCGCGACCGGGACCAGAAGCAGCCAGAAGTCCCGGCCGTCGTCGCAGCCTCTGTCCGAGGACGAGCTGAGCAGCAAGTTCGACAGCTTGACGTCCAACCTCATGGACTGGGAGCTGGAGACGTGCACGGAGGAAGAGCGGCGGCAGCTGACCGACACGGTGTACGAACACCTGATGGCCACGCAGGACGACGAGTCGATGTCAGTCCGGCAGCACGCGTACTGCAACGTCCTGTACGCCATCACGGACGACACCATCAAGAAGTACATGCAGCAGCTGCACCTGTGGCTCAAGGTGCTGCGCGTCAACGCCAAGAGCCGCGTGGAGGTGTCGGGGGCCCTCAATGAAATCGACACGTTCATCTCGGACCTGAGTCACAGCCAGCCGGAGGCGCCGAGCCTGGAGGACGGGTCCAGCTCGGGGGGAGTGGCGCCGTCGTCGACCACCCGTACCACCACCAGCGCGCCGGCGGCGGCGGCGGCGTCGCGCGCCAGTGTCATGAGCCCACCGGTGGCGTTGCCGTCGCCCACCAGCAGCGTTCACCAAGCGCACATGAGGAGTCTGGTGAGTGCTCTGATCGTCACCCTGGTCATGCGCCTGTCGTGGAGGTGCAGATCTTGTACCAAGATTACGGCGATCTTGCCCGTCATCAAGCGTTTGTCAGAGAGGGCGGTGGAGGAGATAAGCCCCAAAATGGCCGCCGCCCTCGCCGACATGGACACCTATGACGCCGTGATCCAAGCGGTGGCAAGAGAACTGTCCAAGGAGTTTGATTCTTCTGAAGCGCCATTGCTGGTCCAAAACCCGGGTTTTGACGATGCTGTTTTTAGGCATCTCAAGGTCCAAATCCATCTTCTCAGCAGTGGTGCGCCCCTCAGCTCCAACAACTTTCTCTCCACCATGACCAGGGTTCTCACAAGACCATTTCTGAGCCTGTTCCGCCCGGCGACCCATCCGCTAGCCAACTACAATTGAACAGGACGCTGAACTGGATTCCGCCGCAGCGCTCCGACAACAACTT